CCCCCCCCCCCCCCCCCCCCCCCCCCCCCCCCCCCCCCCGGCCACAGATGCCGCGCTGTCACTTGACCTAAGTCATCAAAGCAAACACACAAACTGCAGATGTAGATTTTGACTGTATGGCAGGACTGTGGCTAAATTTTTCCATAAATTTTAGAAATTTTCTTCTTCCTTTTTCTTAAAAAGACAGTCTGAAACTATGTAGCTGAGGATGGCCTCAAATTTAGGGCAATCCTCCTGCCTCACCCTTCCAGGAAGCTGGGATTACAGGCATGAGCTGTCATGCTTGGCTTTGTTTTTCTGTTAACGTTTATGCTGACTTCTACAGCTAAATACAGATTTTCTGGACATGGCAGGGAACTTATTTTCCTCCCGGAGCAAAGAAACACCAAGATAATCTCAAATCTTGGCACCACGATATAAATGCTGAGAAAATGAAATTTAAGATTTAAAGTGTATTGTTATTGTTGTTGGTTGGCTGGGAGTGTTGTGAGGTACTGGGAATTGACCCCCAGGGCTGTGAGCATGCTGGGCAGTGCTCTACCCCTGAGCTATACTCTTACACCTCGCCATGCCTTCTTTCTTTTTAAGGTGCTGTCTCCTGTGTCCTGGGCAGGCCCTGAACTTACTATGTACCTGTGTATGCTACGCAAACACTACATCAAACTTTCTCAAGTTTTACAAAATGTTCTTCTTTGGGAAGAACGGAGATTTGAAGGGCCTGAGGTCATGGAAAGAGTGTATAATCTGGAAAAGCAGAATTCTGGCAATCTTGCGTTGCTACTGGAGGTTATACAACAGGGACAGATGGTGACAGCTGGAAAGAGAGCCAAGGAGAATGGCCTGAGGACCCCGTGGGAATCCTCCAGTGCTGCCTGCTCTGTTTCTGGAAAGGGAAAAGATATCTGGGCAGCTTGGTCTAACTTCCTTGCTGGTTCCACTGTCCCTAGTTGTATCAAATTGAGAAGAAAAATTCACAAAACAAGCACTCCCACATGGGTAGGTCATTGGTACAGACCTCAAAAGAACACCCTGCTCAGTCCCTCCCCCTTCACAGACACCGTGAGCAGCTGGGCTTTAGTGCTGCTAACAGTTTATGGTCCACTGTTCACAATTATTTGTGTCTTCTCTATGTTCCACATTTTTCCTAGTTAAAAAAAAAATCATGTTTGCATGTTGGTCTTTTTGAGACAGGGTCTCATTTAGCTAAAGATGGCTTTGAATTTCTGATCCTATTGATCCCACTATCCTAATGTTGGCATTATGGGCATGCACCATCACCACCATCACCACCACCATGACCGAGCCTCGTTACTCTGGTGCTAGGGATCAGATCTAGGGGTTTGCATGGGCTGGGTGAACACTCTATCAGCTGAGCTGTGTGCCCAGCCCTTTACTTGTTAAAATGTTAATAAACTAAGTTTTCATGCTTTTATGAACCTTACCGAGAAACTTGCTTAGCTAACGTCATTTAAAGAGCTAGTCCCCGCCAACTTTACAACATAAACCATCTCGGGAACTTTCATTTGTGTTTCTTAAATTTCCTAATACTCTGTAAATCATTGCTATTGAACTGAAACTCTATTAACTGGCATCTTGCTATGTGAATCTTATTTATTAGTGATACAAACTGGAGTTGCCTTAAATACAAATTCTACTTTAATATCTTCCCAAGGGGATAACAACAACAGCCTAGAGCTTAAAAACAAACGTTTCTTGAGTTTTTTTTTTCCGTTATTGTACTTATCAGCCTGCCGGAAGTCTAGCATGTTGCCAAATGCAACAGATGCCTTTTGCTACTCAGAGAAACACCAGCTTTCTTCAGTAAGAATATTTCTAAGTTGGATTCAAACCCAAATATGTAACTATAAAGAGAGACAAGTTGATCAAATTTTCATAATTGATCTTTATTTCTATTATTTTTTCTTCTTCCTACCTTACTTTCTTTTTTTGGGGGGGGGAGCAGGGTCTCATTCTATAGCCCATGCTGGCATTTAATTATGTCAGTTCTGCTTCAGGCTTCAAAGTGTTGGGTTTAGAGTTGTTAGAGGTGTGATTAACCACACATCCACAGTTTACTTTAATTGATCTTTATTTTTATCATTTTAATTTTGAGACCAGGTCTCACTATATAACTGGCTGGTCAGGGACTTTCAGTGTAGGCCAGGCTGGCTTCACACTCACAGAGATCTGCCTGTCTCTGCCTCCTGAATGTTGGCATTAAAGGCATATGCCACCTTACCCAGTCATTTAGTTTGATAAATATGTCTGATAAATAGTTCAGTGGTTAAAATATTTGTTTTGGGGCTGGTGAGGCGGCTCCATGAGCAAGGGGTTGGCTGTTTAAGTCAACAGCTTGGCTTCCACCAGGTTTAACGTAAGGCAAAGAGAGAACTCCACAGCACTGTCCTCTGATGTCCCCATATCTGCACTGTAGTGTGAGCACACACTCATGCATGGTGGCATGTATGCATGCGCACACACATATACACACGTAAGTGCACATACACATGCATACTAATAATGTTTAAATACTTTAATAATGTATCCAGTACGACATCATCATGTACTCACAGGAAGACTTAAGAACTCATTAAAGTAATCCACAAGGAAGTTGTCGGTTGCCAAATAATTTTCCTGCAAAAACACAAAAACATATTATGGCCATGGTTTGAAGCATGTCAGTATTACTATGACTTAAATCCTTGAGACCATTTAAGTCAGTTACACACTGGCTGCCCACTATTAACCTAACACAGTCCCTGGAAGGGCAGAAAAAGGGGCTACAACTTGAGCTGAGCACTCAGAAGGCATGGGATTGAGAGTTCAAGGCCAGCCTCAGCTATGGAGTGAGTTCATAGTAAATTGGACAACCTGAGACTTTGCCTCAACCACTATCACCACCCTCAACAAAAAAGAAACTAGATTGGAATGTTCTCCCAGAAGGCCTTGCTGCTGCAGCGAGGTAGCACATGGGACGTGAAGCATGCAGCAGAGCGTGGAAGCAGAGTGTCAACGAATACCAACTAATTCCCACACACATTTCCCAGACTCCTAACTATGCACGTCAGAGAGCAGAAGCAGAAGATACACAAGATGGAAACCTGACGCCTGCATGTAATCCCGTAACTCTGTAGAGAGGACAGACTTCACAGAGTCGTCTCTGACTTCCGCATGTGCACACATACGCATGTACACAAATCAATGAAGAAGAAGAATACTGCAAATTTAAAGCAAAAAGCAAAGGAAGCCTTGTGAAAGGCAGCAGCAAGTGTCATGCGCTAAAACAAAATTAAACACGTGAAATTCTTCACTGCTCAACTGAAATGACAAGCTACGGATACTAGTCAACTTCTTGTCTGTAAGCCTGGGATTCAGTTTTCAGGACCAGAATCCTGCTTGATTTTGAACACAGACTCTTTTGCCGATGCATATGTTCTGAACACAGATTGTATGTATTTTTTTCTGTAACTGTCTCATCCACCAACAGATCCACTTTTAAAATTGGCGAAATCAAACCCCCACTGCTAACCACAGAGCCGCTGTGGCGATCATCAACACCTTACTCCGTTAGTCAGCGTTTCCACTGTGTCACGAGCACATCGTGACACACTCGGCCCAACAGTACATGTGGTTGTTTTATTAGTCATAATTATATTTCAATTTTGCAAATCTAACACGAAAGTTGAAACATGACACAATGCTATTATTTCCATATGGCTGATAATTTTCTTTTTATTACTAGCCAATTTTTAAAAATGAGTGAAGTAGTGGCTGGAGGAATAGCTCAGTCGGTAAAGGGCTTGCTGTGCCGGCATTCCTCTGATTTGACTTCAATCCCAGCGCTCACACACGAAGCTGGGTGTAGCGGTGTGCACTCGGTAGTAATAACAAGTCTGGGAAGGCAGAGATGGGAGCATCCCTGGGGCTCTCAGCCAGCCCAGGAGCCTAATCAGTAAGAGACCCTGCTGAGGAGGGGGAGGGGAAAAAGTGAAAGTGAGGAGGAGGAGGGAGGGGAAGAAGAGAAAGGAGGGAGGAGGAAGGAGGAGAGAAAAGCAAAATCAAAAAACAGTGGCTAGGATCGTGAGGAATCACAGCAAGGCTGACATCTGGTCTACACTCAGGTATCTACACAGGCATGTATGTATGCATGTACACATATACACTAAAAGAAGAAAAAGAAGGAGGAAGAAGAAGAAAGAAGGAGGAAGAAGAAGAAAGAAGGAAGAAGAGTTAAGAGGATTTGTTTTGGTAACTTTAAGTAACTGTAGAGTCTGAAGAGATTTATAAATAGTTCTGGTTTCAGAATTCAAGATACATATCAAGGAACTTAACAGAAGTCTCAACTAATCAGCACAGGGTTTAGTCTGCTCAGACCCCAAGTGGCTAAAGCAGATGAGCCACAGGTTCACACATGCACCACCTCCAGAGTGGTACCTCAGCACTGCTGCTCACTGGCTAGCTTCCCATGGCTTGCTCAGCCTGCTTCCTTAGAGCACCCAGGACCACCAGCCAAGGGATGGCCTCTTAAACGGTTAACTGGGCCCACGCTCATCAGTCTTCAGTTAAGGTGTGGGACATCGGTGGGCCATGTCCCTCAGGCTGGCTCACAGGCCAGTCTGATGCTGGCATTTTCTCAATTGAGGTTCCCTCTCCTGAGATGACTCTCTTATGTCAAGCTCACAACATGTTAGCCAGAACAATAACATTTCAGATTATTGTGCTTTATTTGGTGAGGCACCAAGTTAACTCTTAAGAAACACATCCTATTTCAAATCAATAATTTTTTGTGTCACCCAGGTAGAAGGCATTTGTGTTACAATCAGAGTAGCCAAATCCAGGTAGAGTTAGTAAATTCAAAATTAAATGATACTTTAAAACAACAACTATGCTTTTCAGACGAAATTTATTTTATTAAATTCTGTAAGTAAGTTTTTAAAAGTAACCAAATTATATAATACTAAGCTACAGGATTATGAATGCATGAATGGAAAAATGTATACTTTATATTAATTTCACAAATTAATATAAACTGTATATTAACAAATATACTAGTAACTGTAACGTATAAAATTTCTTGTTACTTTTTCTAAAATATGCATTTCATTTCTATCGTTAGCTGATTTAGACTTAGCTCTCTATGACCAGCGACTCTTAGATAACCCTCAGACTTACAATCTCACTCCAGCTCAGTGGTTCTCAACCTTCCTGATGCTGCAACCCTTCAATACAGTTTTTCCTGGTATGATGACACCAATCTCAAAATGATTTTTGTTGCTACTTCATAACTGAATTTTGTTACTGTTAACAAATTGAAATGTGAACATCTGTTTCCCAGTGGTCTTAAGTGACCCCTGTGAATGAGTTGTTCAACCCCTATAGGGGTCTCAGCCCCGCAGGTTGAGAGCCACTGCCCTAGGTGCTTTGGGTTCCGAGTCTGTCACAGCACACAAGGAACACCTGCTTTGCTCTCATAATCCATTTCAGACATGAACTTTTCCTGAAATACACGAAGAGGAGTCACTAGGAAAGAAACCAAAGGGTATCCAGTGCAGTCCCAGCCCTCGTTGCTAAACTCTCCAGCTATAAACATGTCTACAAGTTGACATAACATTTCTAAGCATCTCCTCTTAGCTCCTGAGCAACTCTTGTTGGGGACTGAGTATCCCGGGGACACTAGTGTCCCGCCTTTACTCCATGGTGAAGGGGTACTGTGGCACAGTCACGTGTCCTAGAGACAGCCATAGAACTTAAAAGGATTGTTCAATCAAATACATCAAAATCGGCCTTTCTTCTGGGAAGCTGTATCTTAGTGTATTAAGTACTGATGATTATCTTGATTTGGAGCAACCTTATCATGTGAAGTGAGTGTAGCCTGCAAGGTCTACCTGCTCTGGCCTGAGGGCCTTTCAGCAGGAAGTGAGTTCACTTCCCACCACATTTACTAGGTCAGTGTGTTGGCCAGTGAGTCTCATCAGCAGGCAGCCCTGTAAACCAAAGAAGCTAGGCAAGCGCTATGCATGTGTGCGTGTGTGTGCGTGTGTGTTCCTGAGATTGAACACAGAATCTTGTGCTGGCAGCAAGAATTCTACCACAAACTTACAATGAAAACCTGAGAAGCTGTTTACTTCCAAAGTCCTTGAATTATATAAGGAAAACACGAAAAAAGAAAAAACCTAGTCTTTAATCTGGTTTAGTAGCTTCTGCTTTTCTTATTAAATTTCCACAATCTAATTATTCGGACATTTTAAAGTTAATTAAATGTCCTCGGCCGGGCAGTGGTGGTGCACGCCTTTAATCCCAGCACT